CAGATCCCCTCCATCCTGCCTACACCCATAGGGCTTCTCCAGCTCAGTCTAGTGTGAGTTCTCAGTGACAAATGACAGTCAGTGCCTGCCTTCTCCTGGGCTTCTGTTGGTTTCCATGGCACCACGTCCTGCTTTCTTCCCTGCTCCTCCAGCTCTTCTTCCTCTACAAACCTCTAAGTGGAGTATCTGTTCCTGGCGTGGCCTTCTCTTCACTGTTTCCTCAATCACTATCTGCCTACCCCTAGCTCGGGCAGAATGTCAGCGCGGTGACCACGGAGCAGCAGGTGGCGCATCAGCTTTTCCTGGAAGCACTACACCCTGGGGGGTGTCTGCTACCTGGAGCTTTGTTACAAGTTACCTGGGACAGGTGGGCAGGCAGTCCAGAGCTTGATCCCGCACAGTGAGCTGGGATTTCCAATGGACTCTCTGAGAAGCGAAGATCCTTCAGAGCTCTAGGGTCACTTCTTTCGCCTTCCTTGAGGTCTACAATTATATATTAAAAACACTGCTCTGTGACCATCTGTAATTACATAAAATCACATGAGTCTGTCTTCAATGTTGGAAACCTTTCAGTAGGAACCAGTGTTGACACATTCTTTCCCTGCAAGTAACAGTTCTATAAAGGGCCCCTCCCCACTCTGCCAACTAGACCCTGAAAAAGATGTAACAAGCCCAGACTGAGAAATTAGGCTTCCCTGACACATTCCAGAGCATTCCATGCCAGCTGGGGAAAACAGAGTGATCCAGTGGCAGGATTAGCAGGGACATTGTTCCTCCCGAGGACACACTGAGCTGAGAAATGTCATAGCAACCTCCTCTTTGAGTAACTACTGCTTAGCTACTGAGAAATCTTGTCCTCTAAAATCAGAGGGCATCAGAAACCTGGTTGTATGAAATCACATCTGTAAGAGCAAAATACAGGAGTCTTAGCTAGGTGTGGTGGTGCACGCCTGCAATCCCAGCACTCTGAGAGGGTTGAAAGTTCAGTGCCAACTCAGGCAATTTAGTAACTTAACAAAATCCTTCCTAAAAAAGAAAGGGGAGGGGGAGCAGGGAGGCAGGGAGGAAGGGAAGGAGGAAAGAAAAAGAAAAGAAAAGAAAAGAAAAAGAGAAACACCTGACTCTCAAGATCTAAGTCCTTTTTGATACAGGAAGCAGCCTCAGTTTCTGCCCTGGCGCTGTGCATCCATTCCACGGCCTCTGAACACAATGCTGCATCATCGATCTCCGCAGTTTCCAAAATAATGCAATCTTAGTCCACCCCTGATGTCGATCCTTTCACAGAGCCCAGCCTTGCTCTGACAATATCAAAACTCCTTTAATTTACATTTCACCCAAACTCCACCCCTCCTACTGACCCTACAACTCTTCTCTTTTAAGTTTATTGATACATTTTAGAGATACATAATGATCACATTCATCATAGGGAATTTGTACTTGTACAGGATATATCTTGATTCTTTTCCCTCCAATTCTCCTCCTCTCCCTTCAGCCTCTCTCTTTTCCTTTGTTTGGTGAGACACGTCATGGTTGCTGAGTGTGACCTCCCTTAATGCCTGAATCAATACCTCTTAATGACCAGGCATGGTGGTGCACACCTGCAATCCAAGCACTTGGGAAGCTGAGGCAGGAGGACCACCATGGATTTAAGGCCAGCCTGGGCTACACAGTAAGCTCAAGGCCAACCTTAACTACATAGAGAGACTATGTCTCAAGAAAATCCAAAACAAAATAAAACAAATACAAAAATCCCTAACTTTATTGAATTTTCTATATCTCTTGTAGCCTTAAGCTGTTAGCTAGACAGCACCAAAATTCACACTGTAGCCTGCTTTCTGGCTCCAGGTGTTCTTATTCCAATACTTCTTTTTTCTTTTATTCTAACACTTTTGAAGATAAGTGCATGCGTGGTGAAAACACACAAAACTTGTTTCAAATACCAAACCTTACCTTTGTTCTGTCACATCATACCTGGAAACTTTCGAAGGCTAACATTCCAACCAGATTTATTTTCCGCACTCTTACATTTCTTCCTTACTTTTGGTCCAATAAATCCATGCTTTAATTCCTGGGAACAAAGAGATATGTGTCATGTGAAAGCCACATGACCGTGTCTCGGTGCACATTTATGAAGTGAAGGGGTTGGCAGCAGTTTTGGAGAAGCATCTGTCTTGGTTACTTTTTACTTGTTGTTGGGACAAAATATCTGACATCCAAAATTAAGGAAGGAAAGGTTTACTTAGCTCTCAGTTTGTGCAGGTTTCAGTCTGTACTCAGCTAGCTCCCAGGCAGAGTGGCACATGGCAGAGAGCAGCAGTTCATGAGGGCAGAAAACAGTGAAGAGCAAAGGGGAGGGCAGCAGCTGTGGCTTCTAGCCAGCCTCTCTCCCCTTCTTATATTATAAACAAGCTACCCTGGGCTGGGGGTGTAGAACTCACACAATGTCCATGCCCTCCTCTTGCACAGGATGAGTCAATGAAACTTCTGAACTTCTCAAATTGACACAATGTATCAACCAGCACAGCACCCTTCTGTACCATTGGAAAGGTGGCTTGGGCTCTGGGCCGCCTGCTTAGCGCAGGTCTGGCTGGCTGCCCCTCCCCCTCACCACATGGCCACAAGAGTGGGCAGGGACTCACATGTGTGGCAGGACATTGCAACTGGGGAGGCAGTAACATCAGGAGTACCATCAGGCCCAAAGCAAAGGTGGCATGTGGTCAGGCCAAGACAGGACTTCCACATATGACCTGTCCACACAGCCCTTAGACCTCTCCTCCTGGGCATGACCCACAGATTCTGACCCCAGACCAATTCAAACCAGAGCACCTCTGGTGTGTGGGTGTGGCCTTGTGGCTTGCACTGCCTTGACCACACTTGCGCCCACCTTGAGCCAGCACCACCGCCTGGGCTTGAAGGACATCCTCAGACCGCCTCTGCTGCTTTCCAGGACCCATCCGTCTTGGCTGGGGCCCTCCCACAAGCCAGCCCTCTCTGGGCCTGACAACCTAGCTCTATCTCACTGACGTTGATGACCCTGGGGTTGATGTCCCACCTGATCCTCTTAAGAGAGGTTGAATGGACTCTCCAAAGAGAGAACATTTGCTTTGCAAATGTTCAGACATAAAGATTTCAACACAATAGAAGTCTAATGGGCCAGGGAGATAGCTCAGTAGAATAAGTGCTTGCCTCGCAAGCACAGGGTCCTAAATTCAATCCCTAGTACTGGGGGGGAAAAAAAAAAAGGGAAAAGAAAACTAATAGAAGTCTAAGACCCTGGGGGCCTCCGCAAACCTGAGGAATGCAGTCCCCGAGTGCAAGTCCACTGTTCTCTCCTGTCTGGGCCTGAGCAAGCTCGCAGTGCCCGGGAAGGTTTGGTGGGGAACCGGTCAGTCACTACATGTGCAGCTGTTTCCAAAGGGGAAGCTTGGGGCAGCAGGGTCCAAGACAAAGCATGAAAGGCTCAGGACAGGATGGGTCCCTTGGGAGGCAGACTAGGGGCTTGTGTTTTCTTTTTTTTTTTTTTTT